ATTCCTGCAGAGATCATTTCATCTGACACTCAAACACAACAAAATATTGGGCCCTACCCAGTCATGGTAGAGACCAGTTCTGAGGAGGAAACAGTAAAGGATGTCTTCTCCAACTGATAATACACAATGATTCAGGAAAATAAAATAAAACTACTCCAAGTTGGAGTGTAATCAGGACAACAAAATTCTTAAGTTTACAAAAGGAGTTTTGGAGTCCAGCTTTTCAGTAGCCACATAAGTTCATGACCTCAGCTTTGAATTTCATCTAAAAAACCCACCATGATCTTTCTAGAACAGCGCTCCCTACCAGGAGAGTGGGAGACCACCTCACCAGTAATTGCTGGAGATTAGAAAGCCTCCAACATCATCCCTTCTTCATGCAGGTATTCTGGCAGGACCTGCTGGTCAGGCTAGCAGGTTTGCTAATCTCCCCCATTACCACCTCCTGTGGTGATGCACAGCCATGGTGACAGAAGACACTCCACCGCTGTGCAACCTTTTCCCACCTTATCCTCTTTGTAGCTACTTCCAGCTCTCACCCAAGTACTGCACATAGCGTACAAGACAACATGGTCTCAGCATGAAATGTGGGCCATGAAGGAATTCTGACAGCGCTTCACTTGTGTCTTGTTTTTATCGAGACAGACTGGATGAACTTCATATCCCCTAGTCACTAGTGAATGAGTTTATTGCCATGGTTTCATCTTTTTTTGTTAGGTCCTGTTAAAGGTAATGGGAAACACTCAAGATTGTAGGCCAAGCAGACTTGCACACATATACCGCAGAGTTCAGACAGGAACAAAACATCTGCATGGCTGAGGAATGCGGTACCCTAGGGGAAAAAGCTGGTGGCCATTTTCCAAACATAAAAAGTATCCTCGAACCCTGGGGCTGCCTCTGTTGCAGGCTTGTGGAAACACCAGGTGTCTGCAGAGGTGTTTGTTTGGCAGTCTACAGGCCTAGCGATGCTTATTTGCTGTCCAGAAAAATCCAACATAACAGACCATTAATACATCCAACCCCCATTTTTTGAAATCTTTCCACATTCCGGCTGATAAAATCAATAACGTACCATTTCCACACACAGTGAGCAGTAGCTGAGTTGTTCTGATTTGATGTAAACAGCCCTAAGGGGCTTCTCTTTGGAGCACTTGTCACATGGACCAAATACAACCGCTAAGAAGGTCTGGTCGCACATCTTTGCGGTTTGAGAGAGCAAGTCCAGCACAAAGCTTCCCACTACTGCTCTGCTAGCTAATGCAGCTTAGACTGTATATAGACATCTGTAGGCTGGATCATCTCTCTCTGCGACTAATCTCTGGAGCTTGATGAACTGTCACTACATACAAGACAGTCACATGCTCTGCAGATTATATTTTTATGAAGAAAAATACAAAGCAAAATATATCTTGTGTTATAATGTGCACTGATTACACATCCTTTTAATGTGCACTGTGCACGTGGATTCACTACATGCAGGAAATTACTCTTAGTTTTTACTTAACTACTGTCAGCAGACAGTAACCAGAAATATATAACAACAGCTGGGTTTGTGAGAAATCTGCACTGATCAATATTTATTGTTTTTCCACTGCATTATTAAATAGTCAGTATTATGCATTATTTTTAAAGCTGAAAGGATGACTGTAGGATTCAGTCAGCAGCTACGAAAATATTATGAACAACGTGCTGCTTGAGCAGAAATTGATGCTTCAAGCACACTGAAAGCTGGGTCATTAGAAACCCACTTTTGTTCTCAAGCCAGGCATCTCTAGGATCAAAGGACTATCATCAACAGAGAATTAAAAACTACTTGAGAGTCAGAAAAACAAAGAATAATAATACTGTAGTGTCACTTTTCTCTGTACATTTTTCATAGGGAAAATGGGACCTTTCACCACATCTAAAATGAAAGCTTTTAACATTATTTAGACATGTACATAAATAATGAGTTTATGGTTAACAATTAGAAGAAGCTATTACAAGACAGATTTAAATGGAGCAAAAGAAATTCAATGAGCTATGCAGATTTTAGAATTTGTTTGGCTGGACATTATACGAAAACCAAACCAAACTTTATTCTATGTACCTGCCTGCCTTCTGCTGCTTATTCTTACGTATTTCAGTGGACTACTTGAAAAATGAGACGATAAACTCAAAAGTCACACCCACACTCAAGTCAGTAAGTTTTGCTGTTGTCTCCAGGAGATGCGTAACTTCATCCCAAAATGCGTGGGAGGCAATCTGTCCTGAAAGGAGCTACAGCGCATTAATCCGAAATTTGCACGGAGCTTTCAGCCAGCTACACGCAGTCAAGGAGGTTTACATTCCATTTGATGAAAAGCAAGAAATATGTCCTGAAGTTTTTAATGCATTTTTTTGCAAACAATGAGCCGGAGACCACAAGCTGCCATCCTTTCAGGGAGCTTCTCTGTGCTAGTATTGCTCATAGCTTTAAAGTGACTACAGCACCAGGGCTCGGTTCTGCTAGATTCTTAAAATTGGACGTTTACAACTGAATAACCTGTTATTCTGAGGTTCTTAGAATTAGTGGTTCCCACTGAGGGCAACTCGGCTGACATAATCACAGATTTATATACGTGGTGTGAAGCCTCAAGACACTAGGCCAACTAGACTTTGGGAGGAAAACTTTCACTTCAGAAGAAGTGTAAAATTAAAGTATTACAGGGAAAAAGGCCATCTTATTTGAGCAAAATATCATTACTAGATCTAGAGACTTTAGACAAGGATCTATCAGGCTTGGAATAAATACTCTGTGCAGAATTAATCTCTGATAAAGTGTGAGAATTTGCTGGAGTAACATACAGGGTGAATCATACCTGCTATCAGTATTTTACTTCAGATGAGATTATGACATATTACAAAATTTTGCTACAAGAGAAGCCAACAAAACTTCTGAATAATTTAAAAGAATTATTATACCTGAGATTGTTCGTGATAATGATGGATTTGTATACTATTTTATAAAGATATAAACTATTTAAACAAAATAGGCCTAAAAAGATTACAACTTCTTGCACTGTAGCCTGAAATTTTAAACTTACTATGTTTTTAAAGTTACAGTAGAAATTTAAAAATGGCAGCATGGTGAAACATTAAGAAATACGTTACTTAGAGAGAAATTCTGTGCAATGAATCTTGTTGATAAATATCCAAAATTACTCACCTTTTCAAACAGCAAGAACCCGGAGATTCTCAAGATGACTAAATAAGCCGTGTGCAACTGCTAATGTAGAAAGACAACCTTCCTATTAAGTCTACTTAAAGGGTATTTAAAGCTCAGCCTCTCTGGTTGTATCACCTCAGGTCAGCTGATGTACTGATGATTATAGTTTAAAGGCTTTATTTTAACTGGCCTCTTTCAGAATATAGAATAAAGAACATAAACTATTAGGCAAACAAGATCTTACCTGCCTGTTCCATATAGCAGCAATTTTTGGATGGTTTCCAAATGTTAAAATTTAAACATACTGGGGAGGTGACTGATGACTGATTTTTCCAACTATCAAATTGACATTCTGACAAATAACACTGTCGATGTTAAGTCTATCTCATATTCTTAACGAAATTTAAAAGTAAAAAAATTTGATTAGTGTCCATGCTGGTTCTTCCTTGGATATTCTTTTACTATTTGCCTGTTTTAAGATGATAGATTTAAAATCAGTAAGATTAAAAATTGCTGCTTTTTTGCACGCTTAAAAAATTTTGGGGAAATTTATGAAAACACGTCTGAAAAATTTAAAAAGTGCTGAAGGTCACATCTACTATTGAGACTCTACTGAAGTCACTGAAATCATGCCATTAGATGTTTGCATTTGATAGTCAAGAGGATCTGAGACAAAAAAGGGGGGGGGGGGGGGAAAAAAAAAAGCCACTTAAAATGGTTGGTTTTGTCTTCCCAGCAGAGACTTGGGTAGAAGCAACCTGTCCTCATCTTTTTTATTAGAATATTATGGGAACACAGGACTGAAAGGGACCACCGATGCTGCTGAGTCCTAGTCCCCGAAACTGCAGGAGTCACATGCCTAAACGCATCCAAAGATGCCAACAGCATCTTACGCATCTCTCCATAAGCCATTTCAGTGCTTTTCCACTGCAGTAAGGATCATCATTCAACATTTTCCCATTTGAATGAAATAACTTCCTCCTTTACTATCATTCGAGGAAAGTTGATGCCCCTCAGTAATGCCCCTTTCATGTATCTGTCTTCACTAAGACTGCTCCTTATATCTAGAAGAATTACAGATAACAAACAATTTGTACCTACACGCTGGTTGAAGGCATTAATGTCAGCAAAAGCAAGATAACTTTCTGAGAGCATACAGTAGACACTGATCATTTTTAACTTCCTTTCAAAAAATATATTTTGTTGTTTGCATACACAGTGTTAATAGCGTACTTCACACAAACCTCTCAAAGAAACCTAGCATCAAGTTGTCAGAGCAATTTTCCTTGATCAGCAATTTTTTCATAAAGACATACATGCCTTCTGACACTTCTATGTGATGTAGACCTAAGAGCGGACTGTGATTTTACTCATACCATCCCAGGTAACAGACATACAGCTCCAGTAACTGTAAAAGAAAGGCTCTATACATGTTACAGCAACAAAACTTACTTGCATTAAAATATTTACCGAAGTTCCTGAGGAGCCTTGGACAGCAGGACTTCCAGTTCTGACAGGAAGACACACAATGTTACAGCAAAGCAACTGGACCATTAAATAAGTGTTTATGGTGCAATACAAGACTAACAGTATTCACTGATGTTCACATAGTTCCAAGTAACTTCTTTCAAATGATCCCATACTGAAAACATAACTGTTGCATCACTCAAAGCACTACAAATTGATTTAAAAGCTACTTTATTTAACAGATTAAAATACTAGTCTACCTACATGCCTGTGATATTTTGTACAGCTTTTGTTGTTATTGAACAAAACACAATTTTTCCTTCATATATTTTGAATATATCTCTGTGGATATCACCATGAGTATTTCACTGCAGGTAGTAAACACCAAGAACACTGCATAGCAAGAATGGTTCCTTCTTTATATTTACAGATTTTTCTGTGAAATTCAACAAGCAGTACTAACACTGTGTAATAAAAAAAAAAAATCACATCAATTGTTCCTTCCTGTAGTATTTAAATTAACTAAATTCATTAGAATGCCTTAAATATTTCAAAGCTTTACTACTCAATTTTAATAACTATGTCTAATAGACTAGCTAGAAAACTAGCATTATTTACTGAGGAACTTCTAAGTACAGCCATCACCGTGGTGAGGTGAGTGCTGTTTCTCCAGTTGTTCTGACAGGGTCCAGTACTAAATAAAGTTACTGTTTGTTGCATTCTGACTACAGGGAGAAGGCTGAGCAAAAAGAGGACCACTTCTGCTTCTAAGGATCCTGCAGTTGAAATGAAATGAAGATGAGGTGTAAGGAATTAAGTGTGGTTTATCCGTAAGGCCAGACCACAGTAGCTGCATTCACTCCTACTCAGTGTCTGGACTGGAAGAGGGAAACCAGCAAAAAAGAAAGGGAAAAAGAAGATGGGCACATGTGTGCATACTCAGTGTATATTCCGAAATAGACTGCACTAGAGATGGACCCAAACCAGGAGAGGACTCCTGTTTTTTAGAGAAACAAGTTTGTCATTCAAACCTGGATCATCACATGAATTTTATACCTGACTCTTCTACTATAATGTCTGATACGAAAATCCAGACTTGTCACTGCAGAGAACAAAACTGAAATCAATCTTCAAGAGGAGCACCCGAGTCCTTCCCTTGGCTGAAGAGCTGTCTGGTGTGCCTGAACTGCAAGGCAAGCATTCAGTGAGCCAAGCCAGCCTGCCTACAAAAAGACAATGTGGGTTTGTAACAGCAATTCTCTTAGACTCATCTCAGTTCCCCAGTTTCAATGTAGCTATTTATATTGATTTTTTTTTTTTCAAACAATTGTGGAAGGAACTTCCCTTCTACTACAGTCTTCTGGAGGAACTGTTACAAAAGACTACTTTAATGAAAGAAATAAAGGTATAAGAAGTATGGAAGGGTGAAATACACTGTAAAACAGATCCAGTATATCAAGGCAATGAATAGAATTACCTTGGGAAAAAAAAAATCTTGTTACAGGAAGAAGTGAAGGCAAGGAAAATTGTAAAGTAATAAAATT